TCGCGTGAGTAAAAACACGACATAATAGAACGCAAAAGCATGTTTTTTGTGACGGTTAGTTCAGATGTTTTAACTACTGACAGTGTGTGGAACTTGATATGAATTTTCTATAGAATGAAAAAAATGGTGGTTTGTAAACAGCAAAACTTCGTCTGGCCTAATTTCACTAAGTAACAATGATGCAGTTTGTGACGGGATACCGCAGTTAACTAGGGGAAACCCGATAAACGTTTGAGAAGATTCATGGTGGGTGGGTCTCTATTTTCCAACAAAAGTTACTGTTGATGAAGTGCAAAAGTACAAGTCCGATTTAGGGTGCCCAAATCATGTGTTTGTGGATATTCGATGCAGACGATCTGCGCATTTAATCCTGGTGCAATATTTCTACTCATAACCTGGTCATCTATACGGACAACGACGGAAGCCGTATGGATGCTTGAATGTGTTTTTATGGCCATCAATGTGGCATTTTCGGGTATGGTTTGACTGTTTAATACATTTATAAAAATAGCAAATTCAGGCCTCAAAGATAACAAGAGCGTTCACCGGTGACAGAGACGCAAGACTCTGGTTATTATATGCATTTTCATTTTTCAGAATATAACTCATGTTCAGCCAGGTTGCTTAAAACCTGTCTGATGGTTTCCTTTTTTCGTGCAGTCAGCTCACTATAACTGACATGTCTGACGGTTATTCTATCACCTGAGTGTCGCCGGTCTTCCTTTACCCTGGTTGGTTTGATTAGATGTGCTGGCTCATCATAAAATTCGTTCCTGTCATGTTCAGAATTGCACCAATCCAGTCATCGTTAGAAATGGATCGGGGTCGGATCTGGGACAACCAACAGCTCCAAGGGTATCCCTCTGATGTGGTTGGCCAATTGACAACCGTTCGATAGATTTGCTGATGGCTGTTTGAACAAGGACACGACGGTATCAAATTTTAAAAAAATGGATGATCTTCGTAGACAGAAGCAATGTAGAATTTGGTGAAGTTCAGCGTATTTTACATGACAGGCACAGATAATACCCCAGTTCATCTAGGCGTTTCAGTCTGGAGTTTAAGCTCTTCGGTACCGATGCTCGAAAAGTTTGGAGCTTTTGCCCATTTCTCCCACTACTTCGACTATATTTGTATTCAACAATAAACCCACATAATTAAGACAGTTTGCAGTGACACCAGTGTATTTTGTCTGCTGACAGAAGTGAATTTAAGGATATTTATTTTCCAAACAAGTGCAGTTTATTTGCACAAAGGAACATGGCTGGGTTAAAATAAACAAGCTTCATTTACAGGACAAAGCACATTTCCAAAATCTGGTTCATTTTTCAAATTATGCATCTGGTAAAATATATCTTGAGTTCTTGTACGTGCTGGACAGAAACATTGAATCACAATTGTTATGGTAAACCCACTAATGAGCTTCGTGATAAACATTTCTCTTTTTTTGATGCGAGCTTCGGTAATGCAAAATGTTACAAGATTGCCCTCCATATGCTATTTGTCTGCATTGTGTGCACTTGCATTTCTATTCAAGAATACTCTAATGTTTTCACCCACTCAACAAGACACTTCACTCTGTTTGTTCTTCTGATCGGTTGTAACTAAAGAGGACAGCTTCATTTTCGAAACACACTATGAATTTTCAGGCGTTGGTGGTTGCAGCATCTTGTAGAATACGTACTCACACGACTCTCGTTTGAACAATCATGCTCCTGTCCTCTCGCAGTCATCCTGGTGGGTCCACCCTAAAGGGGGAGAAGCACTGGACTCGAGTTTTGCTTTTACTAGCACTCATCAGCAGTACATATCCAATGGCCTTCCCGGGGTTTGAACTCAGCGGGGCGGACTTATTAAACAACTCCTGCAGCGCACGCTAGATTCATCCGCATTTTCACGTCTGAACACGTGAGCATAAAGTCTAAATGTCTTGAAAGGTGAATCTATTCACACTTCAGCAATGAGATGGGTTTTCTAGACGCCTCTAACAGGAGCCGAGTGGCTACTCTGGTTGTGTCAGTTGACTGATTCACCTGTCAGGACTGCCGAGTCAGGTAACAACAGGGACAAATGAAGCATTCTATGAAATTTACAATCAGTTTCAGGTGGCAAATAGATTCGTAACAGTATCCAGCTTGAGCTGGTGGAGTAGTGATAGCACCTCACTGTTCGCAGTTCAAACCTCGGTGCGATCAAGTACGTGCACTGCTGATGAGCTCTAATAAGAGCGAAACTCGACTTCAATGCAGTCGCCATTGTGAAGTGGACTCACAAGGACACTGAGAGAGTTGTCCAAAAGACATTGATGTCACCTTCAGTTCTACAAATCCCTCAACCACACACAATAATTATTGGAACAGCTCAAATGCTTCTTTGTCCTTTCAGCATTTTACAAGTCGCGTTAGATAAGAAACAAAAACACATGGTTCCTTGTTTTGCTATTAGCAAAGCTCGTCGGTGCCCGCCTTCTAGGTGAATCAAATGGCCGGCAGCAAGCACGGCAGTGGTACACTCATGGACGATAGTCTGGTATCGGGGAAAACCCAGCTCTAATTGGTTAATTTACTTCGAAACTCAAGTAATTATATGCAGAAAGATTAGAGACACATCAAATAGCGGTTTCATCCTTGCTCGGACACCACAACAGTGCGCATCAAACCTCTTGGTTATTAGTAGAAGAACGCAGCATTAGATCATGAGCAACTGGTCCAAAGTATGAACGACTAACCTTCATTTAAACACGATGGAGCACCCCTACTTCAACGGAGGAGCCACACAACTTGCCGGATTATTTCTCATCCGAGTCGGTTCATCCCTGTTATGCGAAATTTTAGACAACAAACATTTATGTCATGCCAACCTCAGGATTGAAGGCTGAAAAATGTGTGTTTTAGTCACCAAACTGATAGGCCAATCGCGGCCGAGCGATTTGTGCCTCAATCAATAGCCGGAAGGTCGACGTTTTGAGTCTGCGTGAAGGTTGATGGGATGCACAAGTATGATTGACCCAAAAAAGTGAAATACTTTCCCGAGTTTCTAAGATTTCCACAAGAAACCACAAGAAACCGAGCTCACCCAGGCATGATCTCACACCCCTCGGAAGCCTTGAATATTTTGGTCACAGAAGAGAAGGCATCACACTTATTGAGTCCCACGGTAGATCAAATACAACAAAGTTCTCTACGAGATGATCTCTTTCAGTCCGGACGATTTAGTCGTTACTGAATCCAGAGAAAAAGATGACTACATTTCGGGACGCAGTCCCCATTCGGAAGATACACATATGTTCAACGTAATTTATGCAGTCTTGTTCCCTACTTCTCACGTTCGAAGAATCTTCCTTTCAACAGTATCCGCTGTCCCTTAATTCAGAAACTATCAGGAACAAATTAAGTTGCACAGATCTTTGTTTATGGGCTATTAGCAATGAAAAGTTGTTCCGAGTATTTTGATCCTGCTAGAGTAAGCAAGTTTTGTGAGTTTAAATATTCCACTTGCCTCTCAGCTCACTCTTTAAGATTGACCTTACCGTGATGTGACGGTTTGCGCACCTCAGCGATCCATTGAGCTACACTGGAGAGTGTCCCGCGACACTCACAGAGTCTCTCATACCATGTTGGTCAATGGTTAGAGGTCTGACGAACACAGTCTCCTGGCCCTCCAGGTTGGGGGTTGGAACATGTGGCGACTTGTTCCGTCGAAATGGTGATGTATTTGCATTTCCTGCCAAGCACCGCTGCCTTGCGGTTAGGCTTTTGAGTCAAAGGCTTTGGTTGAGGACCCTAATCGTCCTCCTGTCTAGGTGTGGGCGCCCTGGCAGTAT